CCTATAACACTGTTGATAATTCCGTTTTATATGAATTCCATGCTGTACGAGTCACTTAGATTTTACAAATACGTGTGCCTGGCTGTGAACGGCTCACGTATGTGTAAAATCTAAGTGACTCGTACAGCATGGAATTCATATAAAATGAAATACAGTCGACCCCCCTATAACACTGTTGATAATTCCGTTTTATATGAATTCCATGCTGTACGAGTCACTTAGATTTTACAAATACGTGTGCCTGGCTGTGAACGGCTCACGTATGTGTAAAATCTAAGTGACTCGTACAGCATGGAATTCATATAAAATGAAATACAGTCGACCCCCCTATAACACTGTTGATAATTCCGTTTTATATGAATTCCATGCTGTACGAGTCACTTAGATTTTACAAATACGTGTGCCTGGCTGTGAACGGCTCACGTATGTGTAAAATCTAAGTGACTCGTACAGCATGGAATTCATATAAAATGAAATACAGTCGACCCCCCTATAACACTGTTGATAATTCCGTTTTATATGAATTCCATGCTGTACGAGTCACTTAGATTTTACAAATATGTGTGCCGGGCTGTGAACGGCTCACGTATGTGTAAAATCTAAGTGACTCGTACAACATGGAATTCATATAATATGGAATTATCAACAGTGTTATAGGGGGTTGACTGTAATCAACAGTGTTATAGGAGGGTCGACTGTATTTTTTTTTCCGGCTTGGCAGGTCTTCTTTTTTATTCGGGTTCCGTTTTAAAGAGGTTTTTATTATTGTATCAAATAAAATAAGTAAAACAAAAGTACGAAAATAAGTACAAAAATATTTAATAATAAAATCGAGTAGAAAATGCATTTAAATTTATATTTAAAGTCTTGTAAATTTACAGGATGTTGTAGTGACATACAGAAAGCGTTTATAAATTTAATTACTTAAGCATAGGTAAAGCTGCTTATCAAAACTTGGCTATTAGTAATTTTGCTTCTGGCTCTAATTAACTATATTCAATCCTATAAACAACCCTCTAAGCCAAAATATACGCAAGAGTAAATTATTAATAAATTATCTACGCGCAACTTGAAACATAAAAGGGAGTAAAATAGAAAAGAATAGACGTGAAGTCATTACTTAATGCCTGCAAAGTTTTAAAGAAGGGAAGAATAGAAAGAGCGTTTATGATGGAGGATATATATATATATAATGAGTCGTTTATTGTAGAAGATTTATTGAATTTCTATCTTTATGTTACAGTGAAGCCCGTAGATGTGAAAATAATTGGTGAGCGTCACCCACTGTCAGCAAATACTGTGCATCACGTCACCTGCAGTACACGTGGATCCCTCCCATCCGTTCATATCAGTTGGTGGAAAGGCAGCGTCAAACTGGTGTCCAACAGAGAGGAAATCATCGAGAACGGAAATGCTACATTAAATTACCTGACGTTTGTGCCATCTGCTGACGACAACGGGAAGTTTCTGGTGTGTCGTGCACATAATCCTTCCATTACTCCAAGCACGCTAGAAGATAGCTGGAAATTGGACGTTCATTGTATGTAACAGAGTTTACTGTTATTCCATCTCTGTCTGTCATTCTCTACTTCAATTTTCCCTCTATTTTTTTTCTTTTTTTCCTCCCTATTTCCCTCGTAAAAGTCCAAACACCTCATCGGAAATTAATTTTCTATAAAAATATAGAAATATATCGATAAAATTTTATATAATTCTTTCTATTTTCGTCTAATTTCTTCTATAATTTCCAATAGAAAAACTCGAAAAATTTATTTTAAAACAGATAAATTTTTTAATTAATTAAATAATACATTTAAAAAATCTCTAGTTTAATGTAGTGTAAACACATTTAAGTGCTTTTAAAAACGTATTAAAAACGCTTAAATTATAAAAAAGAAAAAAATAATTAATTAAAAATGATATATTGTTTGTTTGTAAGCTCTATACACAGGTTTTTTTTGGGGGGTGGAATAGAAAAAAAAAATCTATTGTTTCTAAGGCATTTAACCAAGTTTAACCTGGTAGAAACATATCTTTTCTGAGTGAAAGTCGGATCATGGTATTCCAAACACGACAATCCAACTTCAGTCAATCAGAGAAACCACATTTTGAACCATTTTTCTAGAAAATTAAATCTATACTTCTATAGAATAAGTTCCTGTTTCGCAATGATAACATGCTCGGTTTGATACTATTAAAGAGATAATTTTCTAGAAGAAAGGGAAGAGTTTTTTTTTTTTCTTCTTCTTCTTCTTCCTCCTCCTCCTCCTCTTCTTCTTCTTTTAAAACTTTATTAAATAAAAGTTAAACTATTGGATTGTAGCCAATATATAAATGCTAAAAAAATAACATAGATATAAACTAGTTTTCATTTAAGGAGTTATGTAAAGCAATCATGAAATCATAAAGAAAGAAGGGATGAAATTTATTGAAAATTCTTGTAAAATAAAGTAACTTTAAAAAAAAAAAAGATGGCAGTTATCATATTTTTTTTTTCTTGGGGATTATTCTTGCAGTTGTATAGTAGTACTAGCTACTTTAAAGGAGAAAAAATGCTCAATTTTTTCCCTTTCAGTTGCATAAAAACAATAGAAAAATCTCTCCAGAGTCTACAAAGAAGGGGGGAGAAGTTTCTTAACAATACTCTTGTGCATTGTCGAAGTCAAATGATTTATGTTGAGTAGTCTTGCATGACAGTATAGAGAACGTGTCTCTCTCTCTCTAGAATTACCTACTAAGTTTACATCTAGTCAACAATGTGATATTTTTTACTAACAATTCTTTGTATGTAAGATATATGTTATAACTGTTTGTGCTTAGGGATTTTAGAAGTTTAGAAAGAAAGAAAATACACTTCAAATGTTAAAATTATAGAAAACGTTTCGACTCTCGAACAATACAAGAAATTACATATGAATAAATAACTTCTAGATTTTTTTATAAACACTCAAAAACTATGTGACAGACCTACATTTTAGTTAAAGTAGATTATACTTTAAAATTCTAATTCTAATTTAGTTGGAATTTAGAATTTTTAAATTGTATTCTGCAGGGAAGATAACTTATCCCGTTTTTTAATAAACTCGAAGGTGATATATACTTGTTGAATGCTTACAGGATACTTAGGGAGGTCTTTTTTTGTATATTTCTAGTGTCTGAAAACGATATAAATTGTAGTAATTAAGAAAAAAAAAGGATCGTTTGTGAGAAAAATATACGCTGTAGTCTGCAAAAGCTCAATAATTGTTCATAAAGAACTGTTATTCTACTTGGCAGAAAGAAGAATTGTTCACCAAATAGCATTCGTAGACGTTACACAGGAAGAGGATGATGTAAGAAATAATTAAAGTAAAGCAATTTTACAGAAATAACCAATGGAGTGTAATAAGTAAACTCGAAAAACACTTATCCGAAAAGATCTAAACTTTAATTATTTCTTAATTTATTTCTCGTTTATATTTAAGAAATTCTTTTTAAAGTACAGATAAGGGGGAAAGGAAAAGGAAAAATAAAAATAAGATACATCTGAAGTGTAGTTTCTCTCCTTATTTAATAAAGCATATTAAAAACCACTTACTTAATTTTTCTTTTAGAGTAACATTTTAGTAAATATTAAGGAAAGTTTATTTATAAAAAAAAAAAAGAAAAATATGGAGGATATTTTCTTTCAGATGTTCCCCAATTAAATCTTCGACTTGGAAGAAATTATTCTAACATCAAAGAAGGAACAGATGTACATTTTGAATGTGATATTAGAGCAAATCCTCCGATAAATAAAGTAGGATGGAGATTTCGGAACCAAGATCTAGCATCTAATGCTTCTAAGGACATCCTCATTTTAAATCAGACATTATATTTGAAAAATATCCAAAGATCTTCTAGGGGTCATTATACTTGTATAGCTACAAACAGTGAAGGAACAGGAGAAAGTAATTCGGTTTATTTAAGAGTCAAATGTAAGTAGTTATATATATATATATAAATTTTAAAAAAATGTTATTTTAATTAAAAATTTAAGTTTTAGAAACTATTCGAAATCATGATAAAACGACTCCATTGGGTAAAATGCTAATGCTTAACGATGTACTAATTGTGAGTTCAAAGTGACAAGCTTAGTCATTTACTTAATTACGTTACACGTGTAGTCCTTTAGGATTTCTAAATACTCCTTAGAGCCACTTGTGAGCTTTTATACAAAAGGAACACAGTGGTTAATATTCTCAACTTATTGCCAAATTACTTTAATGTTCTCGGAAGAACAAAGCTGTTGTTACTTAATATATATACACCTGGCCCAATGGTGATTTTCTCTTATAAGCTAATTCTTCATTGTTCATTAAATAATCGGTTCCATCAAAATTTCCATTTGTTTATTGTTGGACGAATACAACAAAATTCCTTTTTACTACTACGTATATAAAATTATTTTAATTAAACTTTTCTTATGGTGTAAACGTAACTTAATTCATTCTGAACGGTATTTTGATCGGATTTAACGTTTATTCTATTAATAATTTCGATATAAAATGGCAGAACGATTTTTAAGGTTGTTTTTTGGAGCCGTCCGTTAATCGAGAACGCATTTAAAGGGGTGAGAAACGTACTGTACGTCGTTGTACACGACGGGGAGGGGTTTCAGGAGCTATCAATATGGATTTTAGTGGTTTTAGTGGTTTCGGAAATTTTTTAAAGTCGTTTCTGCAACAGGGTAAACGTAATTTGAAAGAAGGGTCTATCAAAAGTACGTCATTGTAGACGTAATTAAAGGGAAGGGAATTTGCCGAAAGTACACCATTGTACAATGGTGTACTTTCGGCCATAAGTGCCCCAAGAACTGTTTAATTGACGGTGCTTAATTGATGCTATTTTTTAAATCAAATTTTTCTTTTTAAATTTATTTATAACGAAACAGTTTCGCCAATATGCAAACAACAGGAAATCTTAACAGTTGCGACCGTAAACAAACCAATAAATGCAACCTGTCAAGTGGAAGCCGATCCATCCTTTGTGGATATTTTCTGGAAATCGAATTCAACTGTTCCTATACGTTACGATGTTAAAGGTACCACTAGCGTAGCATTTTATTTACCAAAATCACCTGAAGATATTCAAGATTTATTATGCTGGGCAGTCAATTCAGTTGGGATCCAAAAATCCCCCTGTGTTGTCAAGCTTGTTCCTGCTGGTGAGTAGATTAAGAATAATTAATTACACGTTTTTATTTAATGATATCTTATGTACTCGTAAAATAATTATGTTGTTCATTATGTATTAAGTATATTCTATATTTATTTATGTTTATTTCCTTATATTGGAGCTACTGTTTGAGATTTAGTAATGTCAACCAGTTGCGTAACTTTCCCGGCAAAAAAGTTAAAATTATACATGATGCCATCTGTTATGAGATTCTATTTAAAAACTTTTTATATTATAATATGATAAAAAGCTTTTAATTTTGAGGGTAGAGATGAATTTTATGAGAGATTTTAAATGGTAAGTAAAAGTACGATTCACTCGAGATATGACACACCCTGTATCTCTCCATCCCCTCGACCTTTAACCATAAAAATTTAATAGCTTTAATGCCTCAAATATACAAACCTCCATGCAAAATTTCAGAAATTTTCGATAAAAGGAACACGAGTTATTAAGCTTCAAAGAGGGTGAACAAAATCGTGCCCTTCACGCATTAATATCCAAAAACCCTCCAAACTTTTGTGCACATCTCGACGTTTGAAGGTCCCCGAATCCAAAACTGTAAAAATTTTGGTGGAGGGTCATTTTTTTGACCGGTTGCCAAACTTCCCATCTGTTATATATAACAGCCTGGATAGTAAAAATGATACTTGTATAGCGTTATAAATGTTTGTTTTGTTGTTATATATATATGGCTTACCGTTTTATAATGACAGATATTTTCTGGGAAAGATTAAAAAAACGAAAGATTTGTAGTTCTTAAAGGTTTACTCTTGTCAGTTATTTATACCCTTTAAATACAAGAGACAGCACCCTGCAAATTATCAAAAAAAATAATTAAAAACTATATAAATTGGGTTGCAATTTGAAAAAAAACTGTAGCCCTATAAATTCCCACTCGTGTCTTGTCTGTCTGTCGGTCTGTCCTTCCTTAAATTAATTTCGAGAACGGTTATAGTTAGATGAAATATGGAAAGCTTACTGGCAAGACTCTGTTGTTATCAGGAAAAGTATGATTTACAGGGGCAAGCCACTATTAATTTGAGGTGGAGAGCATATAAAATTGCATACCGACATTGTGACGATTTTTTCTCGTTCAATACAAATTTTATTATTATAATATACAGTAATTTACATATTTTTATATGTTAATGAAGAAGAATAATGTAAACAAAGAGAATAATTCGCTTATAATTATCATCTCAAGCTTCTTTACATGCAAACATTTGCTCTTCGTCTTAAGTTACTTGATAACTCTTGTAAATGACTTTCTACACAGAATAATAATAAATTTATCACCTTAAAATTATTTTATTACTATTTTAATTAAATAATTTAAGTTCTAATTTACATCTCTGGGGAACACGGGATCGAATCAGAGTGAGCAATGCCACGTATTTTACACGCGAAATGTCGGGTTTTGTTCTTCGCCACCCCCTCCATTGTGGGCCTAAAGGCCCAGCGAATTTGAATTAGAGGGCCCAATAATGTAGTGTCTAAATTTTTATGGGGGAGAAATGATTTGGGGCCCCCCGGTAAAGAAGACCCCAAGCAAATGAACCTTTTTTTTCTTTTGTCAAGACGATAAGGCGCCACTACAAGTACGGATCAATGAAACGAACACAGGTAATTGCTTCAGTTTATTTCGAGATGGCGACGAGTGATGACGTGTTGATGGCCCTAAAATCGATATGCCAAACAAATATTTTATAACGGATATTAATAAAACTCGAGTTTTGTTTTCAATATATAATAAATATGACTTTATGTCAGATCTGTAGGGATGGAAATTTATTCACTGGTAAGAATGTAATAAATGAGTCACTCTATTATCGGTTTACAGGCGAAAGTTCTTCTCCCCTCCGTGTTTTTTTTTTCTCTCTACTTTTAAGTAGCAAAAAGTCTTATAATTTCGATAGGAGTAGATGTATAAAGCTTAGTTTTGTTGGCCTAGAATGTGCCAAAAAACTGGACATTTTACTGTGGGCCTACTTTCGACAATCGTTCAATTGCTGATAAGAGATCCAACGATAAAGAAACTTTCCAAGAGATACAGAAATATCGCTTCTTGCAGGAACTTTACCTCTTATATATATATAAGGTTTAATAATCGAACTTAATATTTTTTAATCTAATTTTTCTGTTTTATAAATAAAAACAAAGGCGTTAAAGTGAAGGGGAGCGTAGAAGATGAAGGCACAAAAGACAACGATTTTCCAAGTAAATTTTTTAAATTAAAACGTTAAATTTAAATAAAAAAAAATTGAATGGAATTTAGTGTAATTCGTAAAATATGCTAATTTTTCTGTCAAGGGAAAAGAAAAAAAAAAGAAAAAAAAAGGATAAACATTGGAAAAAGCTCGATATATCGGCCTATGTTGGTACAAGCAAATTGCATAAAGAAAGCATCTGAAAAACAATCATTTACTACAAAGGAGATAGTCACTCTTAACGTTGTTCTAAGGTCGAGGAGATGCCTAAGTGGTCTTTGTTGTTGATTCGAACGTAACAACCGAGAGTATTGTATCGACTCGACGTCTCAAACTACTATTCTATCGTTGTTTGTGTGCTTCTAAATTTGTGGATATCGAAGAATAATCATTAAGAATCGTTACTAAATTCCCCCCTTTTTACGATTTAGTTCTAAAAAAAATTTTTGGGTCATGCTTTTCGAGTTTGTAAGGTAAAGGGGCCTTATTCTCATCGTACACGTCCCTACTGTGCATTTACATACACACACACACACGATTGAATTCTATATTTAATTATGTTAATTGAGTTTTGGGATGGGGAAAATAAGGGCCAACCCCCTAAAACACCATTAAAATTCATTGTGTATGTTTCAATCTTTTATCTTCTTAATTACAAGTGGGTTAAATTATTTAGAAAATAATACGTTGGAGAAATATATATATATATATATATATATCAAAATTCAAGTGGTGATGTATATTTTTCTCTAGAACACCGTGAAAATAATAATTTTTATCAATTATTTTATCTGTAATATATAATTATACTAAGAAGTATTGATTTAATATGTAATATTTTCTAGAATGTACAGTGAATATATTAAAATATTCATTATTATTATCAACTATTTTTAATTATAGATATACATATAAGCTAAGGCCGGATTTTACACACAATCTAAACAAGCTGTAGCTTAGGGCCTAGCCGTTGCGAATCTATAGTTTAGGGCCTGATATTTTTACATATATCATTAATCTATGGAAGAGAATAGCTTATGGCTTCACATCTTTATGTGTATCATTACTCGGTGGAGGGAAAGGGCCTTTTATATATTACATCTTAGGGCCAAAACTAGTTCACCCTGACAAAAATAGAACATTTTTTAACGAAAAGTGGAATAAAAATTTGAATATTTTTATTAAAAAAAATAATAATAACTCAAAGTACTTCATCCATAAACAGAGAAATGGCTACGAAATGAAACTAGGAAACAGTGCATTATATTTTTAAAACGTTAGTAATGTTCTACTTATCACTTTTAATAGGAGAATTTCTTTCATCTCATCTAAGGTAGTAGAGGAACGTTTAATCTTTTGAAATATTTAATTAGAGAGAGATACTTATGAAAATACCAAATTATAATAACAAAACAGTAATTAAGGTACGCCTGTAATGAATAAGAAACAGAAAAGTTATCTCTTAATGCAACTATAGGTTAATGTGTAGAAAGTCTACTAAGTAGATGAATCGGGGTTAATGGTTTAAATGTTAATGCTTATGTCACAAGGATATATTCGACTCTCCTGTTAAATATAAACTCCCGTTTCCTACTCAAACACAAAGTTATAACGAGTCTTTTAATGTATATGATAACCCAATTACGAATTTAATTCATCTTAATGTTATTTTCTTGATATTCGACTCCATCAGATCGTTGTAAAGAGGAGGGAGGAGGAGGAGGGGAAGTTTTGACCAAATTTTTCATTATAAAAGCCAAATTTATTGATAATTATCTTCTCTATATAATAATAATATTGATGAAGGGTCTTAATTACAAGATTTAATCGCCACATTTTCGTTGTAAGCTTTGAAAAGGTAAACTCCTATTCCTCGTGTTGTTCAATAGATGAAAGTTATCGATAGAAAATTACACTGAATTCTATTACTTTCCTACTTGTTATAGAACGGAGGGAATGTATTGTTAATATACAAATTTTTAAATCCTCCTCCTTGGTTTTTTTTGCATTTCTCGACGTTCCCGGACCCCAAAAACATTAAAAAAACAATAGAAAATTATGTATACCTATATGCATGTTGCCCAATATTTTCCTCTATATCTCAGGAACCCATAGACCAAAACTTACAAAATTTGGCAGGAATACTTCTATTTGTGGGTCATTAATGCTGTTATATTTTGAAGGTTATAAGTCACAGTGAAGGGGAGATATAAGGGATAGGAGTCATATCTAGAATAGTGTGAGACTTAATGATAATTTTACTGGTAGAGCTTTTAATTTATTAGAAACAAATATTATTGGCATTAACAATATTTAAAAATCTCACCCCCCACTCCCTCCCTACCTTCAAAACATGGCTTTTTCGATTCCCTCCCTCCCTCTATTCGAGTGCCAACTTTTTCTTACTTATTCTTAACAATATTTAATTATCATTAAATTTATTATTACATTTAATTATTTAGATTAAAATGATTCGTTTATTTGTAATTAATTGTAGAAAATGCCAAACTTATATTCCTAATTAAAGCAAACAGTAATTGCGATTACTTTCTTTAACTCAAACTATAATTATCATTATTAGTTTATTAGTTTAGTTAATTGTAATTTAGAAAATAAATTAATTTCAAAATTTCAGACGAAAATAAACTTTAAAAATACTTAATTAATTATGTTAATTTAGTCATAAATATTATTATAGCTTTATAATTATGATGAACTTTAATTACAGTTAATGATAACTATAAGTTAACTATAGTTAATAATTAGTTAGATTAATGATAATTGTAAAGTTAATTGTAAACAAATTAATTGTGATTTTATACAGTAATTAATTGTAAAAGTTATCTAAAAATTTTTCTTAATTTTATTCAATATTTTTAATTAAACTTTATATTTTAATAATTCCAATTCAAATTACATTAAAATTACAATTAAATTGAAATTATGTATATTAAAGTAAGGATTTATGAAATATTTATATGAAATTATTTTAATTTATAATTAAATGAATTAA